GTTTCATAGAATGACCATGAGAGTTTAAAAACAGAAAAATACCTCAAGGACTATATTACTTTTGAGATAGGAATTTATACCTAGAACTTGGTTATCTGAACAAACATTCATTCTTTCTATTATAAAGACAGCCAGGTCTTTCCAAGGGTAGAAAACATACTCTACTTGACTCGTTTTTGCAAAGGGGAGAGGAATAAAGGTGTTGGAAACTAAGCCGCCTTCATTCTCCTAATAGGAAACATTGACAGAAGCCACAAGTAATTTCCACAGCCTGGGGAAGTTACATGTCAGCAGCTGGTGACAGCTAACACCCACCACGTCGCCGTCCTTGGTCCAGGATAACCAGGCTGTGGTGGCATGGGATTCAGAGCTGGCTTTATAGGCTTTATATGTGATCCATGCAGCTGCATAGACCCCAAGCTCAGAAGGCACACACATCTGGTTCCTAAACCATCTTAAAATTCATAATAAGTTTATCTTTGAACTTGTGCTTGTGAATGAAGTCCAATGAAACAATGAAGCATGGATTTGAGCATAGAGAAGTAAAACAGTTTCTAGTACAGTATCTTTGAGGAGACTTCTCCTGCTTTAGGAACTGGCAACCCTATATTTTTAGCTTGCACTGGGCTCTGAAAATGACATAGCTGGTCTTGATTAGACTCAAGAATTTGTCTTGCGGTCTGCCCTACTGGGTCGGGTTGTCATTTTGAAATCCGAGGGATTAAATTGGGACTCAGCAGTCACCTAAGAACTTGAGCAGAGCCAACAGTCACAGCGAGAAGCCAAAAACTCGGCTTCAGCCATGGTGGGAAGGAAAAGGCACCTCTGTCAATTGGATGGGGGCTGCCAGGCGGCCTCCAGTGACTTGAATTCTGCCCAGCTGACAGGGTCTGGAAGCTTTTCTCTGCCCCACAGTCTGACTCACACTGCGCCCTTTTCAGCTGAGCACCCTTGCATAGTAGCAGAGTTCAAGCAGAGCGAGTGCGTGCCCAGTGGTCACGCCAGGAAAGTCCTACAAACCAGGCCCATTGACAGTGTCATGGGGCTGCAGTATGGGTGTGTCCAGGGCACCAGGGGCACCTTTGTGGCTTCATGTTAAGGCTTACCTCTCCAGAACTCCATTAGTTTCTGTCAAGAATCTCCCTCATCCCCGTCACCAAGAGTGATGAATGGGGACCAGTGATGTGGCATGGTAGACTGGGCCACTGCTTGCAGTGCCAGCATCCCATGTGAGTGCCAGTTCAAGTCCTGGCTGTTCTACTCGGGATCCTGCTCCCTGCTGATGTGCCTAGGAAAAGCAGTGAAAGATGGTCCAAGGCCACCCTGGCTCCTGGCTTCGGCCTCACCCAGACCTGGACCTGGTTGTTGGGGCCATTTGGAGTGTGAACCAGTTGATGGAAGGTGTCTCTCTCTCTCTCTCTCTCTCTCTCTCTCTCTCTCTCTCTCTCTCTCTCTCTCCCCTTCTCTCTCTCTCTTTGTATCACTCTGCCTTTCAGATACATCTTTTTTAAAAAATGATGAATGCCCAAAGAGTGTTATAGCACAATTAATCATAAATTAATGGTCATGTTTTTTGCCAGTGTTGCTTATCTCTGATGCTTATTTCTGATAATCATGACAATAATAGCAGCAAAAACTGTAAAATGAGAATTAAGAGGTTGGAATTCTGATTCCCTCAGTCGCAAGTGACTGGAATAATACGGGCCATGTCTTGAGCTTCTCCTCAGTTTTATTCTCTGTGAAATGGCAATAATAATAGTTGCTGAACTATTTGCCCTCTGCCCACTGTGCTTCCTTCACAGAAGGCACAGTGGTTTAGTAAGTGGCGTGGATAAATGCACATTGGATGAATGACCCAAAGGATACATGATTCTCACTGTTACTGGAAAAGGTTTCCTTACTTTGAGAAGGGGATGTTGCCAACATGTCTTGGGTTGGCCTCCTGTTCTAAACCTGCAGCTCTTCACTCTGCAAGTGTTCTGTGAGATGAGCTGCTTTGGTACCTGAGGAAATGGAGGCACAGCTCAGATGTGACTAAGCCATAATTTGGTTTAAACACATCTGATTCTAAATGCTGTGCCCTGTTGCCTTTGCTAGGACCATTTCCCCTGTCTTAAGAGCTTGGTGTAGGGCAGCGCCGTGGCTCACTTGGTTAATCCTCTGCCTGCAGAACCGGCATCCCATATGGGAGCCGAGTTCTAGTCCTGGTTGCTCCTCTTCCAGTCCAGCTCTCTGCTGTGGCCCAGGAAGACAGTGGAGGATGGCCCAGGTGCTTGGGCCCCAGCACCCATATGGGAGACCCTGAAGAGGCTCCTGGCTCCTGGCTTCGGATTGGCGTGGTGTGCCGGCTGCAGTGCACTGACCATAGTGGCCATTTGGGGAGTGAACCAACGGAAGGAGGAGCTTTCTCTCTCTCTCTCTCTCTCTCTCTCTTTCTCTCTTTCTCTCTTTCTCTCTTTCTCTCTTTCTCTCTTTCTCTCTCTCTCACTGTCTATAACTGTCAAATAAATATAAAAAAAAATAATAATTAAAAAAAGAGCTTGGTGTAATTGCCAATGGCCACAGTTAGGAGTTTCTTCTGTACATGTATCATCGTACAGCAATGCCTGAAAGTTGTCATTTTTTGTTCTGTGTCCCTGTCTGTTATGACAGTTGTGTTTTCTCAATGATTTTCATGTGCACAGATCCCCATGAGGCTAGTCCCCTCACCCCCATCTTCATTGTTCTGGGTCTCTCTTGTCAATTCTCTCTAGGTTATCTGTGGCATCAAGTTTAGTTAACAGGATTTATTTGATGTAGTGGGTCAGTGAGACTACAAGCCAGGATGTCCTAGTTTAAAAAAGAATAAGTACAAACAGCCAACAAATGCAGGGTTAAAACATTCAAGCCTATCGGAAAGAAATGCCCACGAGGTGAGCCTTTGGCTTAGTGGTTAAGATGTCTGCATCTCACATCGGAATGTCAGTTTTCAATGATAAGCTGTGACTCCTGACTCCAACTCTCTACAAATAAAGAGGGCGTGGTGATGGCAGGTTACAGCCAGGGGGTGGTAGCAATGACTCCAGTGACTGGGTTACTACCAACCAGGAGGGAGACCTGAGTTGGGTTTCTGGCTTCCATCTTCAGCTGCTAACCTGACCCAGGGCCACCGCATGCATTTGGGGAGTGAAACAAAAGATGGAAACGTTCTCTCTTCTCTGTCCCTTAAATGACTAGAAATTTAAAAAGAACATGAAAACAATGATGACAAAATAGACCAGAAGAAAAAAATGAATTATGATAGCTAAAGAAGAAAGAGAAGCTGTGTGGTTTGCACTCTTATGCCCTCATGGTAGGATGATAATCACCATAGAAAATGACTTTGCAGAAAGCATTTTGGGAACAAGTATCTCATGCCTGCGATGTGTTCCTTGCTGAATTCCTACAGCCTTGTGAGAGCTCCAAATGTTTATTGATGAATGAAGAAATAATCTGTCTAGGTCTGTGTCCCAAGGAAGTAATCAGAAATAAAATGAAAAATTAATATCCAACCAGTTTCAATAACAAATCAGTGGTTCAACAAATCATAAAGCAGCCTTCAAATGTAATGTTATAGAGTCATTTCTGTAGTGGGCAAAATGGCCATCATATAAGGCAAAATTTATAAAAAAAAATCTGTACAAAAGTGTACCTATGCTGTTTCCTATTCTGGTAAGAGAGCATATATGTGGCATCATTTATTCATTCAGCAAATATTTATTAAGTGTCTTCTCTGTCAAGCACTGTGCTAAGTATGCAAAATAAACAAACACACACACACTCCCTGCATTCACAGAGCTCACAGAACATTAGAGGATTCTGTTATTAAACAACACACCGAGATCAAAAATTGCATATCCACTTATTGCTAGAACACAAAATGAAACAGTACGCAAAAGAGAGTTTAATGCTGCAACCCCATTTAGATTGGGAGATCAAGTGACATATTCTTGGGAAAAGTAGCTTTTAAGCTAAGTCCAGGAAAGGCAGCAGAGTGAAGGCTCAGATGGGAAGAACTAAGAGAATCCACAGATGAAAGAGGACTGAAGTGACAGAATCAGGAGGCCCATGACACTGGAGCAGACAAGCCATAGTGAGCCACCCACATGGCACACGGAGTGTGGTAGCACAGGGGCTGTAGAAGGGTTTAGGGTAAGGGCTTAGTGCAATCTAGCTAACATTCATGGGAGATCACTCTGACTGCAGGTGCAGAATGGATGGAGATGAAGTCTCTATAAGAATAATGATGAACAATGCAGGAGCTACAGCTTATGGGCCCATGAGGGGCTCCTGTGAGCAAGCCTAGCATTCTACCCATGCTGTGTAAGCCAGGCTCTCTACTGGGGGTGCCTGAGACTCAGATACCCACACACCTTGAGCAGGGGATGGCATTTCCCACATTCTTATCCTTTGCGTTTCCAGTCTCTCTTGAGTTTGACAGGGTGGTGCTCTACTCATTCCTGTTCTTTTTAAAGATTTATTTGTTATTTATTTGAAAGGCAAAGTTAGAGAGAGAGGAGAGGCACCACCTCCCAAGCCCTGCTGCTGGCATGTCATTTAAAGTCAGGAATTGGCTCAAACCAAATGAGGTCCCATCTCAAAAATCTAGAACTGTACTTTCCAACAACTAGAGATTCAAATGATGCATTGAAATATTACTGATTGCCCTGGAATTGTTTGTGGTTATAGCAAATACATCAAGGAAAGTTCTCACCAACTTGATTTCATGTTAATTCCAAGTGATTCCTTATAGCACTCTGTGAAGACCCGTGGCAACTTTCTGAGCATCTGTCTTGCATTTTACTAGCAAGATAATTAACACTTTTTGTCACTCTGGCAGCATTGGAGGGGAGGGAAGGGGGATGTGACAGCCAATGCTGCCTTAGGTTAACCCTGCATTCACTTGATCTGGGAAAGAAGGAGAGTGTTTAGCATTGTAAAGGTGGGTGTGTCCTCACTGGCATCTCTGATTCTGTCCACAGCTGGGGCACCCAGGGGGACTTCTCTACAACCCACGCACTGCCCGCTGTGAAGGTTAAGCTGTTCACGGAGAGCACAGGTGTCTTGGCCTTGGAAGACAAGGAGCTTGGGAGGGTAAGTTTCCTCATCACCAGGAGCATCTAATAGAACTACAGAGAACAGGTTTCCTGGCTGGGTACCAGGGTATGGATCACCATGCTGCAAGAGGCAGCAAGTACCAAGTACTGAGAAACCCAGCTTTGGAGTTTAAATCCATGATCTGCTTTATTTTCAGCTGGGTGACTTTGCACAAGTCCTCCAACCTCTATGAGCTACAGGCTCTCCTCCATAAACTTGGGCTAACAAGAGTGGGCATGGCAGAAGATACAACAGGGCTTCTCAACACCATCAGACCCAAACACACTTTATAGCAAAGATGTGTAATGCCCTTTACCGTATCAAGGTAAATTCTTAGATAATATTACTAGTTAAAATTGCTACCCACCTAAACAATGTGAAAAATCAATGCAGTGATATTAAAGAGCAATAAAAAGAAATTTATTAGTAAAAAAATTCAAAATGCAAATAGTAACTCAAAGGTCTTAAGAAGTGATGGTCTGGTTACTGCCACACAAGGTGTCACCATGAAGGTGATGGCCACAAGATCCACAGCAGAGGTGGGCTGTGTTGGGGACTCCCAAGCCTGATTATCAGTAAGCTGATTGACTAAAATGGGAAGCAACTCATAAAGATGCCTTGGTTTCCCTGGAAACATACCAAACACACTTTAAGATTTTCTGCTCCATTGATATCCAATGGGAATAATCAAAGGTAAGATAGGGTGTGGGGGGGGGTGGTATCTCACTCATTATGTGATGATTAGCCTGGCTGGCACCTACCCATTCACTGCCAACAGAGACCAGCACCATTTACTTTGTCAATCATAATGTCCTCAAAATTAGTAAAACACCCCTGAGAGGTGGTACCAACCCCCTTAAGTACCCCTGAGATAACAAGTATCCAGTGCATTTACCACTTGGCTTGCTTTACTTGCTTCCATGACCCAATGCTGCTATTAGTATCTTCACCCCAGCAGGGCTTGCAGAGACGTGTGTGATAGGCTCCTGCCCACATCTCCTGTGTCACACCCTCCTCATCCCCATGCCCAGCATTGCTGACATATTTTAGTCCCTCAAGATTCTTCCCCTTCTCAGGGGGCTTTCTCTCTGCCTGGAAGACTGTCCCCACCTCCCAGCTCTTCAGAAGACATCCATGCCTTCTCTGCCTGGAAGCCTTCCTGACTGCCCCTCCTGCTTCCTTCACTGTCTCAGCCCCTGTGCACCTGCTCCAATGAACTCATCACCATTGAGAGAAGGAGAGGGAGGACTGACAGAAATCTCAGCACTGGGCTGTAAAATCTCTCTCGGAAGCTTTAACTCTACTCATGCTCTCTACTCTGTGCTCAGAACCCAGCACACAGACTTCCAATGAATTCTCAAGGCATTACCCTCTCTGAGCCTCTGATTTGTTGTCTTAGAGAATAATGAGATCCCATCCCGAAATCCCCAGCACATACCCCTAGCACTACCAGCAAGAGCCGACTCTCTGGGCTGTTCTTCCTCCTCCTGTTCCCACTTCCCCAATCTGGTTGTCCTCTATAGAACTGACCAGAATTGTGCTACTAGGACATGGACCACAAGTGACAGTAAGGTGAGGATCAAATAAGGCTACTGGCAGAAACGGTGCCCCTCTCCAGAAGGGGGCAGCAGGATGATGCAGAAGGGTTAGCTGTTTCCTTTGTGAAATAATAGGCATTGCTGCCTATTCTTATGGGACAGACTCTCTCTGTCTCTATCATTATCTCTCTCTCTCTCTCTCTCCCTCCCTCCCACTTCCGCTTCCACTTCCACTTCCACTCTTTCCTTCTCCCTCCCTCTGTCTCTCTCTCTCACACACACACACATACACACACACATGCAGTGGGTGGAGTACCCTTCTTTTCATTCTTCATCATATTTTTTTCCACAAAGGCAGTTATCAAGACTTGTGAGAGTGTCTATACTAGTGTCGCTAGAGAGAAATGTTTACAGCCCCGGTCCAAGGGTGCTTAGCCTGGGTCTCTGAATGGATCTCTTGGAAATCATTTACAAATATGGGGTAAGCAGGGATATATATAGTTTTCTGGACTGGCTGGTGCAAAGAATTCACCAGCTTCTCAAAGCTGTTTCCACTCAGAAAAAAATTTAAAACCACAGGGCTTTTCAATCCTTTTGTTTTGTGGATAAGAAAGCTGATGACCCTGGAAGACAGGAAACTTCCCCAGAGCCACCGTCCAGCTAGTCTGGGATCTGCGTCTCATGCCCTTACTGCTGGCCAGTGCTAAGGGCTTTGCATTGAGCCCTCATCAGCACTCCACAGGAACAGTATTGAGACAGGCACAGCAATACTCTCTCCCATACAGAGGAGTGCACAAAAGCCCAGAGAGGTTGAGCAGTTTGCTGGGAAGGATATCAAGTCTTCTCCAAGGCTGTTCTCACTGTACCACATTATTCCTACATGAAAATCAAGCCCTTGGCTGTGCTGTAGTGGTAAAAGCACCAGCTCGCGACGCCCACATTTCTTCATGATTCAGTACTAGTTTACTCTTTTGTTCCAAGAAAACTCTGCACCCAGGGCACTGGGACTGGCTTGCCTGGCCCTCGTGCAGGCAGAGTGCCCTCTGCTCGTAGCACCCCCATGGGCGGCATCTGACCAACCCTGTAGATCTGTCTTTCTGAAAGTGAGGCCTTTCCTTGGACCCCATAGCCTCATTCTTCCCGAGCTTAGCAAAGCCACTTGCAGAATCCTGGTGTTAAATTCATCTCTTCAGTGACTTTTAGTTTGTCTCCTTTGGGTTATATTTCATTTTTATTTGAAAAATAATTCATGCACACTGCAAAACTAATTAAAATGGATACATAATAGAAACGGACGATCTCTTTCATCTTTCCCTAGTATCCTTTCCCAGAGAAAATATTGTTGTCAATGTATGGCCCATCCTTCCCAAAATATGTATATGTAACCATAACATATATAAAAATTTTTGTATATCTCCCTCTTTTTTGAAGTGCATGATTGGAAGTTACTTGTATACATATTGCTCTGTGCATTGCTTGAAATATCAGATTATTCCCGCCCTGCCCACCCCTCTTGCCAGCAGTACAGTATATTATCAAACTTAGATTCCAGGAATATGATTGTGGGTCCACTGTGCCCAGTCATTTGTGCTGTACACAGAGCCAACAGGGATCATGACAAGTGGAAACTCTTAATCTCACTAAGTTTATGGAGCACAAACATAAAAGCAAGGATTATGGTGCATAGTGGTTAAGTGTTCCACAGGAGAAAGCATAGCTGGGAAGAATGCACTTAGCACAACCCCGTCTGCAGGACAAGGATGCCTTCCGGGGGGAGGCACAGCAGTCAGGAGGCAGACAGAGACTACATGCCAGAGATCAGCTGAACAAAAGCCCAGGATAAAGCCATCCCAGCAATCCTGGCCTGTTGCTGCCTGCTGCAGGGGGTGGTTGTGGCCGCCACATCAGCATCCCCACATCAAAGCACAGCACACATGGGCCTCAGCTGAGATGACAGAGTGCCTGATGAGCAGCCGGGAACGTCCAGATGAGGTGTCTCGTCTGCCCGGGCGTCCGGGCAGCCAGAAGGACCCTCATCACTCAGCTGGGCTGACTCACATAAGGAGTCGCTGGCCCATCAAGGGCATGGCAGGGTGCAGATGAAGAGGGGAGGGAGCTGCCGTGACCTCACCCCTCCCTCCACCCCGGAGAAAAGGTCTCCCCAGGGAGTGACAACAGGGAAGGGGGAGAAGTCTTCGTGGAACAGCCAGTAATTTGAGCTGTGGCCATTTGTGAAGCGGATGGACACCACATTGCTCTGGGAAATGCGCCCAGAACCCATGTGGCAGGAGGCCTGCTAAGGAGCTCGGGTGCCCAGAATGCTCATCTTGCTTTGGGCAGGAGTACAAGGGAGCCCAGAGCCTTTTCTGTGGTGATGCCGGCCCTGGATGAGGTTTTACTCACCAATCCTTCCCAGCCCCTCATACTCACCCCAGACTGACTCGGGGCACAGGGGAGGCCTCATGGGAGTTGGTAGCTCCCTCCTCTCCATCTCCCAAAGGTCCGACTTCAGGCTTTGGAATGTGACTCAGGATGACATAGACAAGCAGCTAAAGGAGGGAGAGATATCCACCCCCTGGATGCCCCTGGTTCTTCATTTACTGCCAGCATTTGTCCTGGGACATGACATAGCTGAGCCATACTGGTTAAGTGATTTTGTACATTTTGGATCTAGTTTTAACTAAATTAACTCTCACACGGTGAACAAATGACCTGAGAAAATCACTGCCAAAGAGCTCTGATTGGAAGGTGATACTCGTCGTGCGTGTCAGGCAAACCGTGAACTGTGGAGCTGACCCCTCGCCTGCCAGCAGGAGCGCTGTCCCCCGTGTCACGAGATAAAAACAAAGGCAGTGAAATCACACAGGACGAGACATCTGTCAAGACATTGCAAGATTCTTTGGAAAGCTACCTGAGCTATGGGTTTGCATCCCATATCATTAACAAGGCCCCTTGCCCTAATTATATATGGCACAAAGTTGTAGCTAGTCGTAGTACAGACACCACAATTAGCAAGATAAAGTTATACCTCTGTATCATGGGGGATTCATTCCAGGATGCCCTACAAGTGCCAAAATAGGCAGATGCTTGGATCCTTTATATAAAATGGTATTGTATCTGCATGCAGCCTACACACATCCTCCCATACGCTTTTAATCACACCTACGTTACTTATGATGTGAGTAGCAAATACAGTGCAAACGCTATCTGAATCACTGCTAAACTGTGTTGTTTAGGGCATTGATGACCAACAACAGTTGCTCATGTTCAGTACAGATGCAGTGGCCTTTTACTGAGTATTTTCTATCTGTAGTTGCTTGGGTTTGGGGATACAGAAGTACAGATAGAGAGTGTCAGATGTATTTGCCCATAAAGTTTGTTTTATCTTGGGCCCCTTTTAAAGCATCTATGGTTTTGTATATTTGATGATATATATAATAGGGTAATGCAGTAATACAAAGCAAACGTATGTAATATAAAATATTGGCCTACAGATGCTGGGCTAATGGCTCAAAAATGTTTTATGAAAGGAGGGCATGATCAAAACACTTTGGCAGCCTCTAGTCTGAAAGAAATCAGGCCTCCCTCTGAATCATGGCATGAGACATTGGGAAAGATGAGAATTTGGAGTGTGGCAAGAACATATGTATAGGTTTGATTTCCCTGGGAAGAGGGTACAATATGAAAGAAAAGAGTCAGGTACGGAGTCTGAAGGGATGAAAAATCAGCATAAATTAGGCTTGCCCAAGTGAGCTGAGCTTTTTCTGCCAGTCTCTTACTCCTCCCAGAGTTCATTACCCAAAAACCTTTATGCATCTGTCCTCCGAGACCAGGCCGAGCTTGCAAGGCTGTCATAAAGCTGCCACAGGGAGTCAGGCAAACAGCAAGAGCCTGCTCCTGGCTCTCTTGAGCCTATCCTGGCTCCCTCCAGAGGAGAGAGGAGCCTGCCTGCCCGCCCCAAAGGAAATAGGTGCTCTGGAAATGTTCAAGGCAACACACTGCAAACCAGGGCATGCTGCCACCACAGAAGCCAATCTTACCAAGTCCAGTTTTGGTCATACCTGTATTTAGTGTGCATTCTCTTAGTTTAGGGGATTTTCCAAAACTTCACTCCTCCCTGAGTACATGTTCCCCAGATCCCAGATTTCATGTGGGCTCCCAATAACTCACTGCGCAATGCAAAGTGGGTTTTCTGAGTTCTTCCCCTGTTGCTTTACCTCCGGGGTCTGTGACGATGAGAACTGAGGCATAAGACCCAAATCAGAGAGCCACATGCCAGCACACTGGTGAGAGGCATTGCCTTCTTCATGCCACGTGTGCCTCCCTCCATGGCAGGGCAGAGCTGAGTGTTGTGGGAAAAGATTTCCAGCCCAAGTGAAAGCAGGCTTAGGGAGAATGCTAAGGAAGTGCCTTCCCTTGTATGAATCTCACATTTCTCACCTATGTAATAGCTGGTTCCTTCTGAAGCCACTCTGCTCCTCAGTGTCAGGGTGAATCACTGGAGCCATGCCCATGTGGGTGTCCTGTTTTCTCGCTAAGATGGATGTCCTTTGTCCCTACAGGTGATCCTCCATCCCACGCCGAACAGCCCCAAGCAGTCAGAGTGGCACAAAATGACCGTCTCCAAAAACTGCCCCGATCAAGATCTCAAAATCAAACTTGCCGTCCGAATGGATAAGCCGCAAAACATGAAACATTCTGGGTGAGTGTTGCTTCGCCAGCAGGCAGCGCAGGACACAGGTCCGTGCACTTCTCAGAACAAAGCTGATCTCCAGAGTTAGGTGGGAGGAGATACGAAGGGTCTGAGAGAGGCTACTGAAATAGTTGATGTTTCTGTTTACCGTAAGCTTCCTGGGCGCTTAGGGTCACCTTCTGTGCCTTTTTGCTGTCAGGAAAGAGTCATTTCTCTTCCCTTTCCTTCTTATACTAAATTCCACTAACATTCAGAATGTTCCTGGAAGCAGGCTAGGAGATGCTGGTTTGGTGAGATTTTGTGGGTTCCCTGTGCCTGGTCGAAGACAGGCAGATGAATCTGACTTTATGAATTCATCACTTGTACCTTCATCACCAACCACACCCTTGAAGTGGGAGCACTGGAGCCAGGCTCCAGGCCACCTTCAAGCCATGGATTCATGTTGAATCAATTTCAGTGTGTAAGTCTGACATTTAAATTAATGACCAAAAAAACAGGAAACTTGTGATCATCTATATTTTTCTAAGTTTTGAAAGGAATGACCAGTTCAGCAAGGTCAAGAAGGACGAGAAGAGGAGGTAAAATATAGCTTTATTGTACAGACCAGGACAATAGTGATGTACAGAAAATATTTATGGAGGATAGGCTGAACCATGGCCTATTGAATGAAGTCACCTGGAGCTCACTGTCTCTGCAAATGTGATCATTTGAGAGGGGTGGGCCATGTCACTCCGAATGGCAGATCATTTAACCAACTGAAGGAAATGCATCATTACTCAAATATTCTGCAGGTATCATTTGCCAACTGACTGTCATTCTGCTTAGCCCCTCTCATCAGTAGAAAGTACTCATTAACTCTTGTGTTTGTTTTCCATCAGTATAATAAAACACCTGAGGCAGCCTCACTTTCTAGACAGAAGAGGTTTGTTAAACTCACAGCTTGGGTGGCTGAAAGGCCAAACAGCATGCACAGGTTCCTGCTAGGGAGCCCATGGCAAATGGCAGTAGTACATGCAGGAGGAAGAAGCCACAGCTACTGACAGACCAGAGAGAGAGATTGAGTAGGGCCCGGCTCAGGCTTTGATAACAATCCTCTCACAGGATTTTCTTATGAGGGTCCCAAGAGAAAAAACTTAATCCATGTCAACGGCATGTACCCAGTGGACCTAAGGAGCTCCCACTAGACTCTGTTTCCCAAAGGTCCCTGCTGTGTCCCAATGCCACCAGCCTGAGAATCAAGTGTCCAGCACCTGAACCACAGCAGACAAACAGCATTGAAACCATAGCAACTCTCTTTTTGTGGGTGTGTTTATAGGAGGGCTCAATGTGGTGAAGCTGCCATGAAAACTGAGGATTGATTGTTCTAGAGGCTGTAGGAATTCAGAAATGTACTTTTAGAATCTAGCTATTGACTAAGCCAAGTTTAAACAGAAGCCCCTGAGAAGTCCAGGAGGGTATGAATAGGACAGGAAGTGAGCATCCCAGTGAATGAGCAGACTGCAGTAGCCCGCAGCCAAGAAGAAAAGAACAAGGCCCCAGCCAAGCATCTCCAAGTTTTAGGAGCAAAGGGAGCTTCAGGTTCCAGGAATAGATCAATCCTTACCATCCAGGCTCCCAGAGAGGTTCAGAAAGTGGGGGGCTTCCCAGTGAGCGGAAGTGTCTCAAGCTGGGCACCAGTTCTGAAGTCAAGCTCTGATCTGGCCTTGGGGAAATTGCATTGCATTGTCTTGAGGCCATATGAGTTTCAGAGCCCGAGATGGGACCATGCAGAGCTCTCTGCCTGTGGGCATAAGAAGGCTGTGGGAGTGTGAACCAGGCTCTCTGTACTCACTGCATGCTTGTTCAGTTGTCCATGATGAAACCCCAGCACTTTACCTCAATTACATTGGCGTCTCATGAAGTGTTGACGAGTTCAGCCATTCTTTCTTCTCCCTGTACCCCTCCCATATATTATAAACATACTAATGGAGTTTTTCCCTAACATCTCTCCTCCCTCGATGGTAAACATCCCAGTTTGAAATCAAAGGGACAAGGAATTCTGTTATGTTCCTGGGGTACGCAAGGACATACCCTGCATGTTAGCAAAATACTGGCTCATAATGACTTTCCAAAGGAGCCAGAGTGTGGGTGAGCAGGAAGCAGGAGAGAAGAGGGGAGGAGAAGGCAGAGAAAAAAAGAGCAAGATGGGAAGAGACCAAGAATATGAATCCATACATCTGTCCTCCAGCCTGCTTTATTTATTTATTTGGACTTCCTTAAAGGAATCAGAACCTCAGTCCACGTCCCATGACCCTTTAAAGCACTAAACCAAGAGTTCTATAAATGCCCTCTTCTCTGTTCCCTGCAGCAGCCCCTTACAATTGGACAAAGTCCCCTTTTCCACATTCTCCTCATTCATTCTTTTGGAAACTGAACTGGCTGATTTGGACTCAGGAATTTTCAAAGGATTCATTTGTAAAATAATTAACCTGTTCCAGGCTGCTTCCACTGGACAGACAGAAGAAATACGTAGCTCTTCTCACTTCTGAAGGGTTCCCTAGATATTTCAAATCACTAGGCTTGCCTTTTAAAATTACCCCTGCCAGGCATTATACTAGGAGATCCTAAAAATAGCTCTGGAAAGTGGACAATGGACGCTTTCCTAGTAACATCAGACCCAGTGTGGCCTGAATCATAGGTCAACAACCTTACCTGCATAAAGGACAACAGAGGGGAAAATGTAAGTGTGTAGAGCCTACGTTTTATTCATGAAACTTAAAATAGCCTTATTGTATGGAAAAGGAGGATAGAAGTAGGAGTGCCACCATCACAGCTTGGAGGACTGGGGGTGTTGAAATCTGAAGAAGTCTACTGAGGTTATCTGTTGTGACCACATTAACTCGAGAAAGGATGTCAGATCCAAGTAACTGACTTGACTGAACTGAAAAATGTCAGTGGAAAAAAAAATCAGCCCTGCTCCTTTGCCCTAAGACATAAGTATCTGAGCCTGTTTGAGAATTAGCAGCTCCTAGGTAGCTTTGTAATTTTTCATCTTTGACGACCATGTGGAGTTTTCAAGTTGAGGAAGTGCACTTGCATCCAAATTTTCCTTCCATCATTGAAACGGTCCCCACAGGGGTTAGCTGTTACCATTTTCCTGTCTCAAGAAGTAACCCCTCCCTTCACACAGCAGCTCAGGCCGAGAGCCTTGGAGTCCTGTCTGATGCTTCTCTTTCTCTTCTTCATCTCCTTCATCATCAAATTCATTTGATTCTACCTTCAAGATAAATCTGGAATTCAGCGCCTCATCCCTACCTCCACCTGGCCAAGCCTACATCAGTCTTGCTGTCACTTGTTGCCCTGGCCTCATCCCTGTTCTGTTCTTGCCTCCCTGTAGCCTGTCTCCTACCCTGAAACTATGGTGTTTTTGTTTTTTGGTTTTTTTTTTGTTTTGTTTTTTGTTTTTTTTAACACCAGCCAGATCTTGCCAGTTGCGTGCTGGAAAACCCACAGTGCTTTCCTGTCTCATTCAGAGTCAAGGCCAGTGTTGTTTCCATGGCTACAAGGCCCTATCTGTTTGACCTGGGCACTGTTCCAGCCTCAGTGGCCTCCTTGTTTTCCAAGAATCCAAGCACTACGCTTCCATCTGATGAGGGTGCTGTCTGTCCTCTGCCTCAGAAGTGCCCTCCGCCAGATCTGGAGATGTCCATAGGCTCACCTTGACCTTGGCCTGTCTGTGTACCTCAAAGCACTGGTCAGTTAGCTCAGTTTAGCCACACAGCAGTGTTTATAGAAGGACCTTCAAAAATTTCATGGAAAATTTGAGTTATGAAAAAACAATGCGTAGATTTCAGATAAATTTGATACAAATAAACGTGTAGTTTAATTCCATTGCTGCATGAAACTTTTGAAAGGCTCACACATATTTCAGAAACATCATGTTGTATATATCTATGGTATATACAGAAAGTCCTGCCTTGATGATCCCTTGTGATGTACCCCACACCTGGGTGGCACAAGAACACCTCCTTCTCCCTAAGGCCAGGCCTCCCTCTCCAGCTGGACCCGAGCAGCACCAACTCTGGTGACGTGTGGCCCCAGGTTCCCTTGAACTGAAACCTTAGCCAGTCCTTGGTTTCCATGTCACTCCTGAAAGGTTCCCAGGTCCAAGTTCTGGTGCTAAAGGAACCAGAGCATGAGTTAGTAAGACGGAGGGGGGAAGAGAGCAGAGACCAAAGGAAGAAAGATGGAAGAACACAAATATGAGTGAAAGTGTGAGTCCCCATCCTACTTGATATTTGGGACTTGCTTCAAAGAATCAGAACCTCAGCCCATGCCCCAGGCCATTCAGGAAAACGTCTTTTGTCCTGCACTAACTGCTCCTGCCCAGGCATCCTGGAGGAGACATAATAAAGTTTGCTCCATGGAAGTTATCGCTCACGTACCATGTGCAAGCACAGAGCTAAGCACAGTAGATATGTAACCTACAGAGCTGTGCTACAAATGCCTATCAAATGCACAAGCAGCACATGAGGGAAGGTGGTCTCACTTTTTTATATGCAAATGGAGAGTGACAAGCATGGGTATAGCAGCGGCCCTGCCAACTCATCACAGGCTAGAGGGACTCTAAGTGGCCAAGGGTCCACCATGACTCAGCAGTTTGGGGGATCTCTAGGACTTGAGTGTGACGCCCTCATTTTCATTCTTTGTTCCTCACTCTGGCCTCTATGTACCTAAGCTGCCCCCAGAAGATGACAGAGATGCTAGTTACTTGCCAGCATCAGATTTGCTGAAATGTTCCAATGATGCAAAATAGAACCTGGAGCACCCAAACCAGGCATGTGTACCTCACTTCGTTTCCCAGCTAAAGCTGGGTGTACATGCAAATAAAGTATCCAAAAATGAACTCTTGACAAAGTTAACAATGGTATACTCTTTGAACAAGGACATTATTTCTGCTGCTACTAACAGTATAATGACACCAACAACAAGCCCCAACATTTATCAATCCCTTCTGATGCTCCAGTTACTGTGCTAAACACTTGACACGTGTTCCCTGCCTGAGTCTTACCGCAACCTTGTGAAGTTGGTATGATGTTAGCCCCATTTGACCTGTGACGGAACCAAGTCGCAGGGCAGCTAAGCCACAGGATCATTAAGGACCCAGCCAGAATTCCCACATCAGTATTTCCCCTCCTCGTCTGAGGGGGAGCCCCTGGGCTACTCAGCTGCTCCTTACTAGAATGCTAATTTATCCACTGGTAAATCCAAATCGCCACATGCCGGCAGCCTGAAGAGAGTTGAAGGCCAAGCATGCCCCCACGGCTAGATCTGTCTAGTGCGAGCAGCTGCGAGGGGAATGCCACCTGGGCGTCTGCAGCAGCAGAACGCCCATCTGCTGCAGGTGCTGTGCATTCTGTGTAGCGAGCGTGCTGCAGCTCCAGAGATGAGAGGCAGAAGCAGTCCATCGCAGCCCTCCGTTTGCATTGGTTTTGACACCTTCTGGCATGTGCCAAGTTAGCAATAAATTCGGAGGAAAACCTCAGAGGGAAAGTCCCACCCTCACACAAACCAAGTGATACTTTCCAAAGGAGAATTGTCAGCTTTTCTCTGATCCCACCAGCTTTCCCTTTCAGAAGCCTTGAACGAGAAAGTCCCTCTGTTCAATTATAGAAGAGCAAGGCGTGTTCCTGTTTGAGTAAAGAAACCCGAGCTTGCCATCTAGCTCGCAAGAGAAAAGAGCACGGGAGAGGGGGTGCTGTAGAATCCCACTCTGGAGTTTCAACTCTGCATCTGTCATTTGCCAGCTATGGAGCCCTGAGAAAGCTAATGGGCTTTCTCAACCTCTGCTTTTTTGGCTGTAACATAGGAATAAGAGTGTTATGATAGAGCTAATGGTGTTTGCTTTCTGCCAGGTATTGTTCAAAGCACTTGCTATTTCTACTTTAATCCTCACATTGCCTCAAATAGGTACCATTTATATTTTCTTTATTGTAGAGGTGAGAAAGCTGAGGTCAAGATCAGTACAATATTGCTCAAGAATAGCACAGGGAGCCAGGCAACCTGGCTCCAGATTCAAGTTCTCATGCCTTTAGGAGGATGTAATAAATTGATGCAAAGTGCCTGACACAGTACAGAAAACTAGTGAAACTTCCCTAAGCAGGGATGGCACCGAAGGAAAAGAGGATGACTCAAAATGATTTGCCTTCTGTGAGTTGTACCAAGCTCCTTTTCCTGTTTCTGTTCCAATCAGTTGAAATTAGGTACAGTTAGGTACACGGAGCTGTATTCTCTGTTTCAGATCTCCGTACATTGTTGCAGGGTAAAGGGAGAGAGGTAGAAGCTGGCCTTTTTGATTCCAGAAGCTGTTACAGCCTTGCCAATTCATACTAAAAATAGAAAACGTTTTGCCACTTTTCAGAACTTGATCTTTTATGTCCTGTACTTCCCTAAATACATAAGTCCCAGGAGATGTATTTTTACATACTTAGGTATTATTTACTGCTAATAATGATGCATTTTCCTCGGAACATTGAGACATTTTATAAGGATGACGTTTATTGTTAAATCTACTTCCTGCCATGCATCATGCTTTCACTTCATACACACTATCTCATTTAATCCTCATGGCAGTTCCGGGAGCCCTGGTTTTGAGAGCACCAAGTGTTTATGCGCTGTGTGCAGCGTTTCAGAGCAACTGGCACGGGGAGAAGTGGAAGGCTGTAAGTCAGCTCTCTGTATCCATAGATTCTATACCCTTGGATTCAGCAACCACAAACATGTACTGTGTAGTCAGGCCTGTGATTGCTGCTGCGGTACTGAGCACCTACAGACTTTTCTCTTGTCATTTCTCTCGTCATTTCCCCCTGCAACACAACAAAACAATGAATAACATAGCATTTACATTGTATTTGGTATTGCTAGCCATCTAGAGATGATATAAAGTATTCAGGAAGATGGACATAAGTTATATGCCATTACTTCACCATTTTATTTCATTTTTATTGGAGACTCCACAAATTTTTGTGTCTTCAGTGGGTCCTGGAAACAAACCCCTATGACACCAAGGAATGCCAGTTGTCACATGCTTCAGAAGTCACTAACTCCATAGTCCTAGCTGATCCTACCTCTTCTGTCTATTGTGACATAAATATGTCAATCTGTTGTTTCAAAAAGTTTAAAGGCAGCGAGGTGGTCCCTGTAACAGACTGCTGACCCCCCAGACCCCCCCCACCCCCCCCCCCGCTCATCTTAGCGGCAGGTGTGTCTGATGAACTCAGCAGCCATCCATTTGTGCCTGCTACCTCAGCTGTGGGACAGCCACCACCTGTTCTGTGTCACTGTGACCGTCTCTTCCCAGATCTGCTTTCTGTCTTGCTCTTTGCTCCTGCAGTGCCTTCTCCGCCCCACAGTCAGTGCAGCCATCTTTAATAGAAATATAAACACGTCACCCCCTTGCTTAACACCTGTCCATAATTTGCCATCCTTATTCAGAATAAGTGTATGAGAGGGCTTCAGTGTTCATGGAAAATGCATGCTATGAAAAAAAAAAAACTACATAGGTTTCAAAAATCAGTTGCACCAAAGTAAATTTCTTTTTTAATTCTCTTTTCCACCAACATTTTAAAGTACCTTCATACTAGTGTTCTGATTTACCATTTAAAAGATAATTCTAGAAGCCAGTGTTGTGGTGCAGCAGGTTAACCCAACACCTGACATGCCTACATCCCATATCAGAGTGCCTGGGATCAAGTTCCACCCTTGTTTCCAATCCAGCTCCCTGCTGATGCACACCCTAGGAAGGCAGTAGATGATGGCTCAATTACTTGGGTCTCTACCACCCATGCGGAGGACCCAGATGAAGTTTCTGGCTCCTGGCTTCAGTGTGGGCCATCCCCATCTATTGTAGGCATTTAAGGAATGAGCCATCAGATTGGATTGCAGACATTCTCTCTCTCTCCCCTCTCCCCCACTCCCTCCTCTCCCCCCTCTCCCCCTCTCCCCCTCTCCCCCTCTCCCCCTCTCCCCTCTCCCCTCTCCCCCTCTCCCCCTCTCCCCCCTCTCCCCCTTCTCCCCCCTCTCTCCCCTCTCTCCCCTCTCTCTCCTCTATCCCATCTCTCCCCTCTTCAGCACATTAACAGGGAGCTAGATCAAAAGTAGAGCAGTCAGGATTCAAACTGGCACCCTGGCATGGGTTGTTGGCGTTGCAAGCAGCAGTTTAACCCACTCTGCCATAATGCTGACCCATATTTATATAGAGAGAGACAGAGAGAAAGGTGTTCCTTTTTCCATTGGTTCACCCCCCAAATGGCTGCTACAGCTGGCACACTGCACCGATCCAAAGCCAGGACCCAGATGCTTCCTCCTGGTCTCCCATGTGGGTGCATGGCCCAAGCACTTGGGCCATTCTCCACTGCCTTCCCGTGCCACAGCAGAGAGCTGAACTGGAAGAGGAACAAACAGGACAGAATCCGGCACCCCAACCAGGACTAGAACCCGGGGTATCAGCACCGCAGGCGGAGGATTAGCCAAGTGAGCTTGTAGTGCCGGTCCCTATTTATATATTTTAATGTGTGCTGCATAGTATATCATTAGTATAGCAAGCCAATACTATAAAGTTGATTTTAGAAGTGAATTTTTTCTCATTAAGTAAGTCACTTTTAAGAAAAACACCAAGTAATGATAGAATAGGTGGACAGATCACAAAGTATGTGAGAGGCTGATATTGGGGAACCCCTTCATGTAAACAGGGGGCGGTCCACAGAGAGAGGTTGAGCAGGAATAAGTAGGATAGGATTCGCCGATGATACCATCTACTTCCAGGCCGAATTAGGATGGAAGTCATTCAGATGTCCCAAAACCAATTCCGTTTCCTCTGTGGTTGTCCATGCAAGAAAAACGGTGGGTGGGACTGAAATAGTGCCAGTGTGACATGGAAGCTGAGCAGAACCAGGGACTCTCCAGGAGGCAAGAAGTCAGCAGAGTTTGGCAAACGAAGAATACCCATGAGGAGACAGAAGGGCCCAGAGTAACTCCTGGGCTTCTGGCTGGAAGGTCGGAGGAGTCTGGTGGCTGTCACTCCTCAGAGCACCTGACATGCGTCAAACGGGGAAGATTTTAATTAAGTGCGTGCTTGTTGTGGTTCCAAAGTGGAGATTCTGATGGATTCTTAATGAGGTGAGGACTTGGAAGCTGTGCAGTTGGTTTGTGAGAGCAAGGCAGGTAAAGCCACTTTGGGAATGGAATATTTCACTGTATTTCAATATGACTAGGTCTCCCCTTGCTTGGCTGGGCAGAGCCTAAAAACCGTCATCCTCATGATGAACTTGACTGATCGATGCCAGTCCATCACGAAACAACCCAAGAAGCCAGTTCATGAGTGAATTCACGACAATGATCTTCGAATCCCCAGGCAGTTCTAAACTATCCCCCTGTGGTTCTTAACCCTCCTTTTCGTTTCTTTTTTGCAAATAGAGCTTAGTTTCTTTCCATCAACAAGTGGGGAGGGGGTAGGGAGGACTTCCCACGTTGACTGGAACTTCCTCTCTCTGATACACCTGCTCTTGCCAGATTTTCAGGAAAGGAAAACAAGGGAAGGTTTTTCTGAATGAAACTTGCCAAGAGGTGAAAAGAGTTGGAGTTGTGAGACTTCGCACTTTTTTTTTCTCTTTTGCAACTTCTTTCAGGAGTTTCCCTACCTAAAAGACTGTTAGCACATATACAAATTAAATCGCAATGTAACATTTTCCAAGGTGATTCTGAGATGAGTCAGGGAATCTGTGAAGTTTGGTATAGGGCCAGAATCCTTTCTGTAGGTGGAAGTGAACCAGACCTGCTGCTCCTTGTCCTGAACCCAAGACTTCCAGAATCTGCAATCTGAGTTAGGAATGTCTCCTTGTATACGAAAACCATGCTTCTCAGTCAAGCGTCTTAAATGATGCACTAACTACTGCATTAATGAGCTCTGGTCTTTCTCCTTTCTCCTAGGTATTTGTGGGCCATCGGTAAGAATGTCTGGAAGAGATGGAAGAAAAGATTTTTTGTATTGGTGCAGGTAACTCTTCAACTTTAATATCCGTCTTGAGAGCTCTCAGTATTAAGATTTGACAGCTGAAGGAATCTCTCCTAATTGGGGTAAAACTTACAGAAAGCATGTGAGGCTCAAACTTTTTGCTCCAGTAATTTTTACAAATTACACATCCACATCACCACATTCGGAGGAAGATAGAGAACAGGTCAAGAGCCCATAGGACTGCTCTCTTCCCTATTCTTATATCTGTTTAAAATTTAATGTGCACTCATTAATTTTTAATTCCAGCAGAACAGAAGTTTGTAAGATAGCCAGGGAGCATAGCCCCCTACCCCTACCTGGTTTCCTGCCAACGATGGAGGACCAGAGAAGGGAGCAAGCGCGTGCCTGATTAGGGCAACTGGGATGCTAACGTTGTCATAAAAAGCAGTTCCTGTTGCTGAGAGCACTGAGATGAGTCGTCATGAGAAAAATCAGTGTTTAGCTTCACATCGCTCTTATGGTTAATATGTTTGAGTCTGAGTCACCTGCACAGGGGCACAGGGGTGCTCCACTCTTCTTGGTGCTTGGTGCTTCCAAAAGTTCTAACCAACCTCCTATGACTATGTTGAATATTCTAGAATACATCTATCAACAATAACCTTGTGTTCAATCAAAGCTAACCCAACCCACGTATTCTGCAGCTTGCTTTCTACACATAAGTTACTGCAGGCATTTTTCCATGTTTATATTTAGAGCTTTGACTCTGCTACCTGTAGAAGTTTCCCTTTTTGATGGACTCCTAGGCTTCTCCAATTTAGGTTTCTGGCAGCAGCATTTCAAGGAACTTCTGTGTATATACAGATGTGGATATAGATGCAGATATTAATATTATTAATATATTTGTTTATGTATAAATCTTTGTTCTTTTGAGTGTTTCTTTTTTTAAAACCCCAGAAACAGTAATATATGTTTTTTAAAAGATTTGTTTATTTATTTGAGAAGCAGAGGAACAGATAGAGGGAGAGATAGAGAGGTCTTCCATCTGCTGATTTACCCTTCAAATGGCCACAATGGCCAGAGCTGGGCCAGTCTGAAGCCAGGAGCTTCTACTAGGTCTCCCACATGGGTACAGGGGCCTAAGCACTTGGGCTATCTTCTACTGCTTTTCCAGGCCATTAACAAGGAGCTGGCTTGGAAATAGAGCACCTAGGACTCGAACTAGTACCCATATGGGATGCCAGCACCTCAGATAGAGGTTTAACCTACTACACCACAGTGCCAGCCCCAATATATATTCTTAAAAAGCTCCTTTTTGGACTTTGTTTTTGTATCAGGATTTTTCCATTTATGAAAGGATTTGTCATAGCTTCTTTTAATTTGTAGGCTCCACCCAAGCATTTATGCTACAATTTTTTTAAAGATTTATTTTATTTATTTGAAAGAGTTACAGAGAGAGAGACAGAGAGGTCTTCCATCTGTTGGCTCACTCCCCAGATGGCTGAAATGGCCGGAGCTGCACTGATCCAAAGCCAGGAGACAGGAGCCAGGAGCTTCTTCCGGGTCTCCCATGTGGGTGCAGGGGCCCAGGGATTTGGCATCTTGTATTGCTTTCCCAGGCCATAGCAGAGAGCTAGATTGGAAGAGGAGCAGCTGGGACTAGAACCAGCACCCATATGGGATGCTGATGCTTCAGGCCAGGGCTTTAACCCACTGTACCACAGCGCTGGCCCCAATTTGGTTTTAAAATATGTAGTTAAAGTAGGCTTTCAATATGTAGTTAATGTAGGCTTTCTTCTGAAAGATGTTACTAAGTGAGTTGACTTGTCACTTATTATTGGGTTATTTGAGTAGTATTTACAGCACTGTCAATTCTGAAAACTCACTATAAAGCAATCCCCACTTAGATCCAAAGTTCCTCCATCCCTGAGCTTCTTAGATTGAACCTTCTATACATCTGCTCAAATCTGAGCTGTGTTACACATACAACATTCAGCTCTCTGGCTCTGAGTAGGAGGTACTCTTTCCTTTCAGTGTTGCTATAGGGTACAATCAAATCTTCAAGTTAATTAGCTAGAAGGGAAATTTTGGGGTACTGACCATCCCCCAGAAGACCGCATGGCTAAGCAATGCAAGGCATTTCATCCCAAGATAGATTTCTTTAGACTACCCATTGGCTGATATTTAATGAGCACCTACTTTGTATAGGGCACATTCAGAGACATAGAGTAGAACTTTTGCTTCTCAAAGGTATCTGTTAGAGCTCTTTGTACGCAAAGAGCAGAAACAGGTCCAAGTTAATGAAAGTGTGTATATAAAGATTACACTGGAAGGCTCTGGAGATGGTTCATAGGGTTGTTTAAAAGGTTAAATGCCTGTTCTTGTTAAGGACAGGGTCTAGTGTAGTTCCAGAAATCCAAGTGGTGGAAACCATGGCCAGTGTCACTTAGCAAAGTAATTGGCTCTGTTTTCTGTCCTTTCATCACTCATGCAAGGGTGAAATTTCAGAGCGAGAGAATTGATTTGGTCCGACTTGGGTCCCACCTCTAACTTTTCACAAGAGGAGAGCATGACATTTTGATTGACAATCCAGCTAGGCTACCTCCAACCCAGAAGGAAGATACCATTGTCAGGAGGAGAAATGGATGTGGGCAGGTAAAAACAGCTGGTGCACACTCTAAAGGAAGCACACTGTAAGCAGGGAGAAAAAAACGCACTAAAACAGGCAGTGCTGAGTCACGGACGTCTCCCGATCCTCGGTGCTGCTCATGGTCCTAGGCGCAAGCAGAATTGGGGAAAATGCCTTGGGAGCCCGCCTGGCCGCACCTCAGTGACCGTGCTGATGCAGGGCCCGTTCTGATAACAATTCCTCTTTGTGTCCCTTCCCTCCTTACCCTGCCGCACTCACTCACATTCCCCAGCCCCAGGTCTGGCCTGGGCATTCAAGAAGTGCTCGGTGGAGGAGAGAGGAAAAAGGATTCGAGAGAAGTGCCCAGGCAGAGCCTCGGATGGCTGTGAGGTGGGAAGGGTCCTGTGGTCTGAAGAGTGGCCAGGGACCATCTTCCAGCTCAAGTGGACAAGGGGCCCTCTGTCTCCCTGATAAGTGTCTCCCACATGAATCCTCACTGGACACACGGCTTCTCTTTGAGGATCTTTGAGATAGAAAGGTACTTAGGGACAGTGGCTGAGCTCTCATTCTGGGAGAGGTTTTCGGGGGGGGGGGGCAGTCTTCATGAAAAACACCAAGAGGGAATTTAGTGAAAGTCTCAGTGAGGCTGCATGATATGTACTGATATGAAATGAGTCTGTATGTATTTTATGGACTGAACTGAAAGGACAGAATGATGTTTTAGGCCATGCAGCGGCAGCACAGCTGTTTTAGGGGCTGCACACTGAGCCTTCCAGTGTGGAGGAGGTGATGAGACTCACATAGCAGCTAAAAAGTCATCTCTGTGCTCACTTCTGAAAAATTATAAAAGCACACAGCCCATCTAAAGCTTAAGATCTTTGCTAGAAAGACAGAAGGATTTCAGGATTTTGTGAGATGCCTTTCATATCCATGTGATTCTCATTAACTTTATTTTTTTTTAACAAATATTTATTTTATTTGAAAGGCAGAGTTGCAGAGAGGCAGAGGCAGAGAGAAAGTCTTCCATCTGCTGGTTTACTCCCCAAATGGCTGCAATGGCCAGAGCTATGCCAGTCTGAAGCCAGGAGTCAGGAGCTTCTTCCAGGTCTCCCATGCAGGTGCAGGGGTCCGAGAACTTGGGCCATCTTCTACTGCTTTCCCAGGCCACAGCAGAGAGCTGGATCGGAAGTGGAGCAGTGGGGACTCAAACTGGCACCCCTATGGGATGCCTGCATTGCAGGCGGTGACTTTACCTGCTATGCCACAGCACCTGACCCCTCATTAACTTTAAAGGACCATTGAGGTTTAGTAGGTGCATCCAACCCCAAAATTAAACCTTCTGTTTCTGCCTAAATCAGATTCCTCCCCTAGCAATCTCCATGACCAGCCCAGGTGTCGCGACAGTCCCACCATCACAAATGTAATGGAGTAGTCAGCCTAAGAACTCAGGCCTTCTCTTTCCATTCTTGTACTAGCTGTGGCAGCAATAGCTAAATATAACCCTGGTGGCTTACCTAGAAATCACTATATTACTTTTGGATCATTTGTCCTTTTTTCTTTTCCTCTATTTAAATGACCACACTTAGAAGTAATGTGTCACCAAGATAAAGAAAGAAAAAAAGCTGAGGTGGGCATTTGACATTATGGATAACTCCCCTCTAGGGACATCTGCATCCCACACTGGAGTGCCTGGTGCGACTCCCAGCTCCTCTACCTCCCATCCGGCTTCCTGCCAATATACAACCTTGGAAACCACAGATGATGGCTCAAGTGCTTGGGCCCCTCCCACCCATGTGAGAGACCCAAATTGGTATTCCAGGCTCCTGGCTTCAGCCTGGCCCAGCTCTGGCTCTTGGGGGCATTTAGGGAATGAACCACCAATGGAAGATTAATAAGATCAATCTCTCTCTCTCCCTTTCCCTCCCTGACCTTGAAATAAGTGACAATGAATCAGTAAATAATTTCTCAAAAGAGGAAAAATGCACTTTGAAGCAACCCCCAGGCCAACGTGGCTGCAGGAGAGAAGTTCCAGGGCCACCAGTGCTGACCTAAGACAGAGGAAGCTCAGATGTCCCAGGTCGTTGGAAGAAAAGGGAGATGAACCAAGCAAAGACACTCACAGCCAGCTGCTGCATGCAGTGTTGAAGGCTCTCCTGCCTAAGGAGGACTTCCGGTTTAATTTTAGCCACCAAATGCTTACACTGATACTCCATCTGCACACTTAAACCAGGAGGAGCACTCTGGTCACACTGGAGGACAAGAGAGTCGGGAAGGGAGCAAACTATCCTGAGCACGGCTCTGCCTCCTTCAAGAGCCTGCAAGGGAGGTCTGTGAGTGACAGCGTGAGAACCACCGGGCAGCAAGGACGTCTACCCAAGGGGCCTACAGGACTGTTCTTCCTCTCCATTTAGATTTCAGGTCTTGTGCAGTGTATTTCATTAGGGAGTTGGCAGCACATAACTTCCAATACAGCTATAATTTTGTTTGTTAGATTTAATACAAGGAAATTGTTGGGAGAGCCTAAGAGAAAGAGAAGATATGTAACATCAGAATATCTGTATGTGAACTTTAGGCAGCAGTTGGTAGCCAGGGCTCAGTAGAAAATAACAGCTGATTAATTCTCAGAGAATGATGAGAAAGGCAAGGAGAGAGGCTCACAGCAAAAGTGTGTTCGCTCATTAGTTTCACATCCAAGTGTTCCAAACTGCCGTAGCTGGTGGGGAGAAATGGTGGGGAGAGTTAGGGACAGGAAAGGACCAACCTCTGATGTCTTTATCAGATTCTACCCCTAACTAGAATGGAACCTTGGGGGCAACACTAAGGTTCTGGGTAGTTGCTGTATGTTACAATAGTGGTTGTCCAAGTTTAGTGTACATTAAGAACTATCAGAGGCACGGGTGGGCATTTAGCTTAGTGCTTCAGATGTCAGTTAAGATAAGATGTCTGCACCGCACACCAAAGTACCTGGGTTTAATTCCCAGCTCCAGGCTCCAACTTCTGACTCCAGCTTCCTTCTAATATGGACTCTGGGAGGCAGCAGCAGTGGCTCAAGTAATTGGACTCCTGCTACCCATGCAGGAGACCTGGATTTCAGCTTTGGTCTTATAAGTGAGGCAGCAGATGAATTGTCTGTCTCTCTCTCTCTCTCTCTCTTTCTCTCTCTGCCTCTCAAATAATTAAATGTTTAAAAAATTAGACTATTAGGAGGGCCGGCGCCACGGCTCACCAGGCTAATCCTCCGCCTTGCGGCGCCGGCACACCAGTTCTAGCCCCGGTCGGGGCGCCGGATTCTGTCCCAGTTGCCCCTCTTCCAGGCCAGCTCTCTGCTGTGGCCAGGGAGTGCAGTGGAGGATGGCCCAAGTGCTTGGGCCCTGCACCCCATGGGAGACCAGGATAAGTACCTGGCTCCTGCCATCGGATCAGCGTGGTGCGCCGGCCGCGGCGGCCATTGGAGGGTGAACCAACAGCAAAGGAAGACCTTTCTCTCTCTCTCTCTCTCTCACTGTCCACCCTGTCAAAAAAAAATTAGACAATTATGGCAAATGTATATACCTGAGGCCCACCCTGTTCTAAGCCTCTGCTTCAGTGGTCTGACTTAAAGAATCTGCGTATTTGTAGTGAGTTCCCCAATACACACACAAACACACACACACTTTAATAGAGGTGACTACAGTGTACTCCTTAGGAACCTAATCGAAAACATTTTTCAGTTTTAAACAAGTGGGTGGAAATGAGTAAAGGTTTCTTGTGTGAGGTCCAGCCACCTTTGAAATGCAACCTTGATGGCTGTAGCCTTAGAAGTCCCAATTGCCCATTCTAAGAGTCCATGAGGTTTGTTCCAGCTGAGGAGTCTCACGATGTAAAAAGTGCAGTCCTCTAAACCTCTTCTCTGAAGCACACTTGGAGACGCTTCCTGGACATTAAAGAAGATGTATTTATTTATTTGAAAGGCAGAGTGACAGAGAGAGATCAGTCTTTATCCAGAGGGAGAGGTCAGTCTTTTATCCACAATAGGCCAGCCCAAAGTCAGGAGCCAGAAAGCAACCACTCTCCTCTGTGGATAGCAGAAGCCCAAGTACTTGGACCATTATCTGCTGCTTCCAAAGTGCATTTCCAGGATGCTGGGTTGGAAGTGGGGAGTAGCCAGGACTCAAACGCGGATCTCTAATACAGGATGTAGGCTTGCAAGCAGCAGCTCAATGCACTGCAGCACAGTGCCCACCTCTGTTGTATGTGAGATTCTTAGATCGCTGTGCTTTTCACTGTTGTGGTCCAGTCTTCTCAAAAACAGAAGATCCCCTTAAAACTTTGAATAATTAGAAGTATTGGGCCGGCGCCGCGGCTCACTAGGCTAATCCTCCGCCTAGCGGCGCCGGCACACCGGGTTCTAGTCCCGGTCGGGGCGCCGGATTCTGTCCCGGTTGCCCCTCTTCCAGGCCAGCCCTCTGCTGTGGCCAGGGAGTGCAGTGGAGGATGGCCCAGGTGCTTGGGCCCTGCACCCCATGGGAGACCAGGAAAAGCACCTGGCTCCTGGCTCCTGCCATCGGATCAGCGCGGTGCGCCGGCCGCAGCGCGCCGGCCGCGGCGGCCATTGGAGGGTGAACCAACGGCAAAGGAAGACCTTTCTCTCTGTCTCTCTCTCTCACTGTCCACTCTGCCTGTCAAAAAATAAAAAAAATAAAAATAAAAATAAATAAAAAAAGAAGTATTCAGTAAGAAATTATTTCTTCTCCCTCCTTTACTTGCTAGAGTATATTGTCACGTCATAAATAAAAACACTCCTAATAAACTCAGGTGTTTCCATCAGCTTAAACTCACTGTTTTTAAACAGCGCGTTCAGTCAAGAACCAGCAGAGGGCAGCAGCACACAGCGCTCCAAGAAGCAGGCCACTAAATAGAACAGGAAAAACTCAACAAGCCCCAGGAGCAGTAATAGTAAATGCCTGAGTCTTGAAATAACACCCTTCTGTTGTGATATTTTTCTGATCTCAAGTGAGTAGTGGCAACTCTGTGTTTGGCTAAACACGTTAACAAACTATGTCCAGATGAAATGCCAGGTAAGAACCGCCACAGCACCTTCCCCACAATACCTACCATCACTATTACACAAGGGATCATAAGGAATCTCTTGTCCATTGGACCTGTAGTGGATTGGAAATTCCTGATACTGTGCTTAAATTTGGGGGCGATGGGGGGGGCCACTTTAATAGATTGCACACAATCAACTTTCTGGAACCAATCAGACTCAACCAGTGAATGCCCATTCCATGAAATTTTTCTTCTGGAGGTTTAAATACAATCTGCATGCATAACTCCTTAAGCTACCCTCAAGGAATTTATCATCTAATATGCAAATGTATCAGTTCAGATACGCTATTATGTTAGTGCCCAGTGCAAGAAACCTGCTTACATAAACACAGAGATTCAGTATTTGCTATGTGAATATCACGTACACTGTGTAAAGCTCAATGAATTTGCCAGCAAATTAGCTATTAGGGGCCTGTGTTGTAGCACAGCAGGTTGGGCCACTGCCTGTGGCCCTGGCATCCCAAATCACAGAGGTTCCGAGCCCAGCTTCTACACATCCAGTCCATCTCCCTGCTGATGCGCCTGGGAGGGCAGCAAAAGTTAGCCCAGGTACTTGAGTACATGCCACCCATGTGGAATACCCGGATGGAGTTCCAGGCTCCAGCCTTTGGCCTGGCTCAGCCATTTGGAAAGTGAACCAGTGGATGGAAGATCTGTCTCTCTGTCTCTCTCTTCTCTGTAACTCTGCTGTTTCATATAAGTAAAATAAATCTTGAAAAAAAATAATAGCAGACCCTGCTAAAATGCAGATGAGAACTCTGAGGCTTGGAGTGGTGACAGGTCCTCGGAGCCAGGAAGGTAGCCCATTGCACTTGACATTGCTTTGTAGGAGAAAGGACGTTATTACTTGTTCAGCTAATTCAGGAGGATGGATGCATGTTTTCTTATCAAGGAATTTGGTGAGCAGGTCTTGTGTTTCCCCTGAAGCCTGTCAAAGCCTCGCAGTATAGGAAGCAGACTCTCCAAATCATACATACACATTCTGAGAAACCCAAGCAAGGTTATGTTTCCAACAGGCACCAACAGAGGGCAGCAACAGACAAACCAGCCACCAAGGTATTCTGCCATGGGTGCCCTTGGTCTTGCTGCACCTTGCTAGGACTGTGTAGGAGATGCATGGAGGGTTTGAGTGCACCAGTATCTTACAGCTATTAAAGCACGCACACACAAATCCCCCCGTAAAGGAGACTAACAATGTCCCCAGCTGGGATCAAAGTTTACTCAGGAAATGTCTCTTTGAATAAAGAGAACCAGGAGATGAGGGATGGGGCTCTCCGTCGCCAAGACATTTGACATCCGTGGATGGTAAATATGCCCAAGAGCTCTTAGCCCAAAGCTGAGGAGATGGTTGCTTTCCCACAGGCTCCTCGTGGGAGAGTCAAGTGTAGACATGCTAAGCTTCCATACTGGGCCTGGATGCGCTGTGGCGACAGGATCCTGCAGACGGGCCCATAGCTGCAGGCAGCCACCCTGTGCTGGCATAGATGCCCCGTGTCAGTAGGGTGAGGGCTGCCACTTAGGGCACTAGTGACAATGGCCGAGCCGTCGGGCACTGAGGATTGCTCCGCTGTGACTGGCACCTAACCATCAAGCGCTCATTGCTTCTGACAGCGTGTCACTCCTGCACTTGTCTGAGCTGCAGGGAAGACTTTCCCAAGCAACCAGACACACTTCTGCAGTGCGAGGAGGGAGAGTGGGGAACGGGATGTGTAGCTTGATGCTGAGAATTGCCCTGAGCAAAATAAAATACTTGTCCAAACAGGCAGCCCTCAACGAGTATCTAGTTCCAAACTTCTAACAGAAGTCCTGTGTAGTGTCTCAGCTAGAGCCACGGTCCTATTAGGTAAAGCCTATGCAGTAGGCACCATTCATCCGGTATAGACCTACAGAAATGGCAACTGTGTGTAGTTTCATGCTAACAGTAGCAGCAGTGATGACAAGAGTTAACTTCCACAGGGCACTTGCCGAGTGCACTGCCTGTGTGAACTCATTCAAGTCAGCACTCACATTGAGCACACGAGCTGGGTTCCACCATGATCTCCAGTCCACAGATGGGTCACAGAGAACCAGAGAGGTCACACAGCCAGGAGGTACTGAGTCCAGGGCCCCAGGGACTGAGTCCAGGGCCACAGGCGTGCAGGTACAATTAAAGAGAGAAGGTTTCTTTCGGGGGGAAGGAAGGTTCTAGGGAGCTAACTACAATACCTCACAGTCTGCTTGTCCTTCCCAGGTCAGCCAGTACACATTCGCCATGTGTAGTTACCGGGAGAAGAAAGCAGAGCCTCAGGAACTTCTGCAGCTGGACGGCTACACTGTGGACTACACCGACCCCCAGCCAGGTAACCACAACCCGCGGGGCCACCAGCTCACAAAACTCTCATCCTTCCCGAATCGACAGTGCGATGCCCTTGGCTGGGCACCTGCTCCGTGGCAGGCCCTAAACTGGTGGCACTAAGGGTTTCACTGGTGACCATGACAGGCACCGTGCATGATCTTGCAGCAAAGTTCCTGTGCAGGCTGGTTGAATGGCATCCCAACGGGGGGCTCTGGTGTTCCTCCAGCTTTGGGGGGAGCCTCTGGTTTCACAGCAAAAGGAAAACTTGACGCATTTTTCTTTTGCATACCTCTATTCACATCAATTAGGTGCTCTACCATAGGATGCTAAAAAAAACAAGTCCTTAAAAAGAAGTCCTATGCATCCAGCAGGATGTTATGTGGTGATGGGGCGGGGGGGGGGCAGTACCATTTTTCACCAGCTATGTGTGCACTGGGCAGATATTATATCACCGTGGCTGAATGAGCCTGCCTCCTGGGCATCCATGTCCCCAGCTCTAATTCAAGAGCTCATAAGGTTAGTTCCCGGGCAAGTGAACAGAAAACCATCCCAAATGCTTTTTTTCCCTAAGGAAATACCCATCCACAAGTGTAGATATCAAAGCTCCTGGGAGAGCTATACAAACTGTAATCTTTCTTATAAGTTCTACATTGCATGAGTTCCACATCCTGCCCCTCACACCTCTCCCCCCACCCCGTTTTCTCATTTTCCCAGAAAAAAAATGAATAGAAATCAGTTTCAAAGAACCTTCAAAGTAGGGGGGGGGTGCGAAATCATTTCAGCATATTAATGAACAACAAGCACCAAGAGCCCTCGCCCAGAGAAGTTTATTTTTATGCCAAATCTGTACAAGGGAAGCATTTCCAACCATACTGCATTATTTGGCCCAAAACGTTTTCTTCCACTCCCATATTGCTCTTCCACATGCAACAAAATACACAGAAAAGAAAAACAGAGTTTAAAAGAAGACAGGGTGTTAACCTGAGAAGGTGTAGTGGGGAAGGCCTTGGGTCCATTCCACTAAAGAAAATTAGCACCCTTCGAATCCCAACCCTGGGGCACTTGGACAGGGCCCACCCCATGGGACTTGCAGATGTAATTTGCATCCAGTTGGAGCATGAAGCAGAGATGACCATGGAAGTCATGAGTTAAAAGCTGTGCCTGGAAGTTCTTGATAATGAATGGAATCTTGGCGTTCAAAGCCAACAATTGCAGGTGACAATGCACGAAGACTTCAGGTCAAGGGTACACTCTGATGGTCTGTTCTTCTCAAGTCATTGGGTTTCCTTCAGAGAAGTGGACTACCTGCGTTTTACAGTGGGAAGCTACAGGGCTCACATGAGACCAGAAGCCAGTCACATCTTGGGACAGTCATTCATTTCAGGCTACTTCACTACCCCTTTTCCTCTGTATTACTCCATTAAACCCTTACTACAATTGCTTGGGGTGGCCAGGACCAGGATAAGCATCCCATTTTATGAATGGAGAAACTGATTCTGAGAGCTCAAAGCTGTTGTTCAAGGTTGCCCTGGGGCAGGGCTGGGACTTGGGGTCCAACCCACGTCATCCTTTGACATGTCCACTAAAACATAGCTGTGTGCACAGCTGAGGCAAAGCTCATTTGTCCCATGAAAGCAGGATTCTCTTTCTAAAGTAGGGAGGAAAGAGACAGGGAGAAAGCTATCATGTCTGCATAAAAAGTAACTGAACACATATGCTTTTAAAACTTCTTTTCTTTATTCTTTTACATTGATCCCATGGGATGTAGTTATAGGTTTCCTTAAGAAAAATGTAAATAGAAAATAAATTGATTATGTTCTTGAGAGTAGTAAGCAGCTTTCCTTTCAGTGTGGCAGTTCCTACCTATTTCCCAAGTAATGCTTGATTAAAATGGAGATTTAAATATTCCTGATTATTGTGAGAAAAGTCTAACTCAGAGTATCTTAAACAGTGTGTGTTAAAAATACAAATTTTTAGCCTTGGCAGCTCATGACAAGAGCCTCGGATGATTACTGATGTCATAAATAAGAGTGTCAATTGTTAAATCAACAATGGGAGTCACTGTGCACTTACTCCCCATGTAGGATCTCTGTTCTTAATGTGTTGTACTATGCGAATTAACAGTAAAACCAGTCTTCAAACAGTACTTTATACTTTGTGTATCTGTGTGGGTGCAAACTGTTGAAATCTTTACTTAGTATATACTAAGTTGATCTTCTGTATATAAAGAAAATTGAAAATTAATCTTAATGAAGAATGGGATGGGAGAGGGAATAGGAGATGGGATGGTTTGCGGGTGAGAGGGAGGTTATGGGGGAAAAATTGCTATAATCCAAAAGTTGGGCTTTTGAAATTTATATTTATTAAATAAAAGAAAAAAATAAAATACAAATTTTTGAGCCCTACTCCTACCCAATGAACAGAAGCAACGAGGGCAGAATACTGCTATTGAAAGGAGCCTGGTAGGACTTTCCTGTGCCCGGTACCCTTCCCCAGATGGAGAGCTAAGTTATGCACATTTTTACCAGTGTCCTAAGATTTTTAAGAATTGCTTATCTGTGTATTTCTTTTTATCTACTTGCAAGGCAGAGAAAGAGAAAGAGAGAGAGAGAGAGAGAACAAGAGAGAGAACAAGAACAGTCTTCTATCCTCTGTTCAGTTCTCAAAAGCCTGCAACAGCCGGGGCTGGGCCAGGCCAAACACAGGAGGCTGGAACTCCATATGGGTCTACCCCATGGATGGCAGGAGCTCAAGCACATGACCCATTGTCTGCTGCCTGCCAGGATGCGTTAGCAGGAACTGGATTGGAAGCAGAGTAGCTGGGACTTGGACCAGCACTCCTAAATGAAAAGCAGGCATCCCAAAAAGTGTCCTAACCCACTGTACCACCGGGCATGATCCCATGGCCTCAGGAGTTTGAGGGGTCTCCTTCATTGCTCTCTGAAAGGTGAGCATGCCAACAAGGATGATTTAGGAGAACATCTCTGCCCCTCCAATAGAACCACCTGATGGAGATACAGATGGGTTAGGTACCATGGTAACCCAGCCCACTCTCCCATAGGAGCGAGCTGTATACCTGAACATCCTTGCCTTAATTCCAGCCTTGGGATCCAGATGGTCACCACACACAAACATTTGTACAAAGAAACTCTACCTGTTGAGGGCCTTACCCATGGTAACCTGGGGAGCTAGAAAGTCACTGTACCTGAGGGTTCACTTGCAGGCTACCCCACTGAAGCTAAAAGTGAAAATATTTCCCTTCACCTTTCCATGGGCATGGTTCAGAGAGTATGCAGCAGTATTTCAGTTCCTATCCAATTAGATAGTTATGTCTTCAAAGGAAAGGATGGTCATTCAAAATAATTTGGCACTACAGTTTGTCAAACAGCTAAATTAATCTGCGAAGATTCATGTGGATCTTTTTATTACTATAAATAGACTATGGCCAGGCAAGTTGTGGGGCAGCACCCTTTCCTTCAGAGAGCTGGCCCACGTGTCCACATCTGGTCAGCCTTTCTCTGCTCCCAGACTCATGGTCTTGACAAACAAGGATGTGTGGGGCTCTGCTCATGTTCTCCATGGAGAGCCCAGGCAGCGTCCAGTGTCGCATTTTGTGGATTCTGTCCCCTGGAATTACTGCTTTTGCTGAGATTCTGTGCCACCCTGTAGCACATGTTGTGTGCATGGTCCTTTCTCCTCTCTTGCTCTTTTGGTTCTCTTTCCATTGTCTGGCTCTTCTCACTCCTTTTTATAAAAATTTATTAATATAGAGAACAGATTTCATGTTTCATAGATAAAATTCTAATGAGATAACCATACTTCCCTCCCTTCCTCAATCCCCCTCCTTCATTCCTTTCTTTTTTCCTCTAATTTATGCAGTTACATAATTTCACTTTACTTTACAATCACAGACTTAATGCACCACTGGCCATAATGTTCAACAAGTAAAAAATAAAAGGACCATGTGTTCCACAAGGGTATAGAGAGGCTAAAAACAATAATCAAATCATAAGATATCGGTTTCATTCTTATACTTTCTTAAAAGTCTATGTTAACTACTCTGTATTAGAGAAAACATATGATGTTTGTATTTCTGGAAGTGGCTTATTTTACTGAGCATAATGGTCTCCTGTTGCATCCATCTTGTTGCAGAATATAAGATTTCATTCTTTTTTGTGGCTGAGTAGTGTTCCATTATGTGTATATACAATGTTTTCTTTATCAAGTCATCTGTTGATGGACATCTGGGTTGATTCCATATCTTAGCTATTTTGAATTGAGCTGCAATATACATAGGGGCACAGATAACGCTTTCACATGCTGATTTATTTTCTTTGGGTAAATTCCCAGGAGTGGGATGGCTGGATCATATGGTAGCACTGTCTCAGATTCCTGAGGCATCTCCATACCATCTTCCACAATGGCTGCACTGGTTTAATTCCTGCCAACAGTGGATCAGGGAGCCTTTTCCCCCACATACTCATCAGCATTTGTTATATGTTTTATTTTTGGATGATAGTCATCCTAACTGGGGTGAGGTGAAAGCTCATAGTGGTTTTTCTGTTTTTTCTTCTGCTTCTTCTTTCTTCTGGTGTGTCCACTGGCTCTCATTGTTGCTGCTTCGGCTACTTCTAGATATTTCTCTTGGCCTGTACTCACTCCGTGATATGACTTCATCCTGTTGTTAAGAATAATCCTTCAGTGCACTGATTGGATGTGCCAAGCCCTGGGATTCCTGCCTGGTGGGTTAAGCACAGTGGTTCTGTCATAAGCTCTGGATCCAAACAGTCCAGGCCAGAAGTTCAACTCTGGCATTTACAGCCCACCTTTGTGTCACAGAGCTAACTATCCTCTTCTCCATGACACATTTCCTCATCATTAAAATGGGAATAATAGCACTTTTATCACAATTATTGAGGGGATCAGATAAAATCTGAAAAGTTCTTAGTGTCTGTCTTTGTCTGTGAATGACTGCACAGTGGAGGGGGCTTTCCCATTTCTGAGCTAGCCCATGAATGGACTTTCTGACAGTAGCACCAGAAACACAGTGTTTCCAGCCCCAGGCCCTGGAGGAAGAGGAAGAGGTAGCAGGGCAGGGGAAAAGTACCCCCCTAGGGTTGTCCATCCTAGCATTCACTGATTGCCACAGAATCACTTATCCCTAGGGTCACCCCTGCTTTACCAGGATCATTAGCAGGAAGCTGGGTTGGAAAAGGAGCAGCCAGGATTCACCTGTGTTCTAATATGTGACACTGGTGTGACAAGTGATGGCTTAACCCATGAAGACACATACCTGTAGTATCTCTCAAAGCTCTTCTTCCTCCCTCTCCTTCCAAAATTTCCCTTCTTTTATGCCATCCACCATGTGCCTCAAGTTTTCCCAAATTATGCATTTTGAATCCTCTATAAGAAATTAGTCAAAATATCCCCTCATAATTATAACTCCTAAAAAACTTTTCTCAAAGCTAAATTGATGTTGTATCACAAGACCCTCTGTACAATGAAGTACCTATTTTTTGTCCTTAATCGTTGGCCATCCTAAGAGTAGAACTATCAGCTCATACTTGCTCTTGCAGAATAGACACCCTATGTAACTGCCAGCACAGTGGACAAGTCTAATGTCACCGGAAATCTCTCTGAATGCCAAAGGGAAATGCCCTGGAAATCACGAGATTTGAATCACTCTTTTCTTCTCCTCAAAGTTTTTTTTGTTTTTGTTTTTGTTTTTGTTTTTTTTTGACTGATAGTGTTGGAGAGTGAGTGAGACAGAGAGAAAGGTCTTCCTTCTGTTGGTTTACCCCCTAAATGACCGCTATGGCTGGAGCTACGCCAATCCAAAACCAGAGGCCAGGTGCTTTTTCCTGGTCTCCCATGTGGGTGCAGGGCCCAAGCTCTTGGGCCATCCTCCACTGCCCACCCAGGCCACAGCAGAGAGTTGGACTGGAAGAGGAGCAACCAGGACTAGAACCTGGTGCCCATATGGGATGCCAGCACCACAGGCAGAGGATTAACCAAGTGAGCCACGGCACTGGCCCCTCCTCAAAGTTTTTAACTAGCCACTAGAGGATGGTGAGGAACTGAGAAGATACAAAGCTTTTTTTTTTTTTTTTTTTTGACTATTGAGTACACAGTAACCTAAAATACAGACTTCTGGGAGAGATTGACAGACATGATGTCTTTGAAATGAGTCCAGAGAGTTTTCCACCTGCTTCTGTCTAAATTTTAACCTTAAGAATACCTACAGGGGAGCCAGCGCTGTGGCACAGTAGGTTAATCCTCTGCCTAAGGCACTGGTTTCCCATATGGGCACTGGTTCTAGTCCCAGCTTCTCCTCTCCTGATCCAGCTCTCTGCTGTGGCCTGGGAAAGCAGTAGAAGATGGCCCATGCACTTGGGCCCCTGCACCTGCGTGGGAGACCTGGAAGTAGCTCCCGGCTCCTGGCTTCAGATAGGCTTTGCTCTGGCCGTTGCAACCATTAGGGCATTGAACCAGCAGATGAAAGAGATTTCTCTCTATCTCTCTGTCTCACTGTCAATAACTCTACCTCTCAAATAAATAAATAAAATCTTAAAAAAAAAAGAATGTCTGTGGGAAGAATAGGTCAGTGGCATATTCATTCATTCATTCGAGAAATATATGCCTTATACAACTGTAGATACCAGGGATCCAATAGTGAAAAAGGCAGAGCAAAAAACTCTTTGTCCTTAGGAATCAAAGTAAATTATGTAGTTTTCTAGGTGATGCAAACAGTGGAGAAAAGTTAAGCCAGATGAGAGAAGTGGAGAACAGGGAGTGGTGGTTAGGGGAGATATCAACAGGAAGGTAACATGTAAGCCAAGGAATGAAGGAGGTGAGAGCATGAGCCATGCAGCTATGTGGGGGAAGGGTATTCCTTGTAGTGAGAATGGCAAGTGCAAAGGCCTGAAGGAGAAGATGCTTCAGGTTTAAAGGAACAGCAGGAAAACAGTGTGGCTATAGCCGCATGTTTGTGAGTGCCTGTGTCCTCAAGAGAGAGTAATAGGAGAGGAGGCAGGGGTGGGGAGCAATTCACCTGTGCTCTTCCAGGCCTTGTCAGGACCTAGGCGTTTCCTCTGAGTGGAATGTGGAGCCACTGGCAGGTTTTGAGCAGAGAAGTGACATGACTTAAATGTTACACTAAACTAATGGCTGGTGTTGCCACGTTAGGCATCAACCATAGGGAATGCTGATAGAAGCAAACATGTCAGGTAGGAGGCTGTTAACTCAATCCAGCTGAGAGATGAGAGAAAACTATGGCTGGATTCAAGGTGGCAGCATTGAAAGATGAAGAAGGGGCCATAGGTTGGTAATGGCCTAAGAAAGAACCATCAGAATTTTATGACCCCTGAAGATGAGTAGTGAGAGAAAGTAGGGAACCAAAACTGAGCCTAAGATTGTGGGCTGCAGCACACAGTGAGATGAGGGAGATGAGCTCAACTCTGCACAGATGGAGAGGAGGTTTGGAGAAAGACCCAGAGTTCCATGTTGGGTATGAAAAACATGGAGTGTCTATGAGATGTGTTCAGGGAGAAGTCAGGAAAGTTGTTAGGTACTCAGTTCTGAAGTTCAAGGGAGAGATCTAGGGTATAAATTAAAATGTGAGGATCTTGGGTATACTTGTATTGAAAGCCTGGATGACATCACCAAGGGAGAAGGGTGCAGATAATCACCAAGGGAAAAGGTACAAGGAAAGAATTCCGGGGCACTCCAACATGTAAAGGTCTGGATGAGGAAGAAGAATGAGAAAGCAAGCAAGAATGAGAAGGTGTGGCAAAGGTTGTGAGAGGAACATCAAATGTCCTAGAAGCCAGACAAGTGAGTGTTGCATGTGGTTGAAACGCTGATGGGTTCAATTAAATGAGGGCTTGAGTTAATCATTGGATTCAGCAATGTGGAAATCACTGGTGACTTCGACAAGAAAAGTTGAGTTGGGCAGCAGCATGATTGGAGGAACTGTACTGCGGAATAGAAGGAGAGAGACGCTTGGTGTTCTGAGTGTGGTCGTCAGACCAGTTCAGTCTATGCCATCTGGGAACTTGATAGAGATGTAGAGTCTCAGGCTCTATTTCAGACCTACAGACCTACAGAATCAGAACCTGCATTTGAACAAGAAGCCCAGTGGATTCATGAGAAGCCTTGATAAATATCTCCCTTTGATTGTCAAGGGCTGAACAGTAGGATAGTAGTCGAAAGAAAAAGCAGAGTCAAGACGTTTTTTGTCATTGTTTGTTTATTATTTAAATAGGGAGAAAATAATGTCTATATGCAAATGTTTCTCCAACTGGCAAACAGCCTGCCTGCCAGTTCTGACCCATCAGGACAAAGAAGGAGATAAGAGCTGGTCTCAGAATGTACCTTTACAACCATGGTCACAGGCTGGTGTTGTGATAGCAGATTAAACTGCTGTCTGCAACACTGGCATCCATTTGAGAGTACTGGTTCGAGTTCCAGCTGCTCTGTTTTTGATCCAGCTCCTTCCTGATGCACCAGAAAGGCAATAGAATATGGCCCAAGTACTTGGGCCCCTATCACCCACATGGGAAACGTGAATGGAGTTCCTGGCTCCTGGCTTCAGCCTGGCCCAGCCCAGTGCATGGTGAGCATTTCAGGAGTGAACTAGGAGATGGAAGATCTCCCTCTGTATCTGTCTCTGCCTTTCAAGTAAATAAAGCAATCTTTAAAAACAAATATGATCCCTGGGGCCAGCACTGTGGTGTAGTGCATAAAGTTGCTGCCTGCCTTGCTGGCATCCCATATGGGCGCCAGTTCGAGTCCTGGCTGCTCCACTTCTGCTCCAGCTCTCTGCTGTGGGCTGGGAAAGCAGTGGAAGATGGCCCAAGTCCTTGGGCCCCTGTACCCACATGGAAGACCTGGAAGAAGCTCTGACCCCTGGCTTCAGATTGGCACAGCTCTGGCCATTGCAGACAGTTGGGGAGTGAACCAGCAACACACCCCCCCACACACACAGCCCCGTCTCTCTGTCTCTCTGCCTCTGTGTAACTCTGCCTTTCAAATAAATAAATAAATCTTTTTTTAAAAAAATAGCTGCCGTAGTTACCAAGTTGGTCTCAGACTTCTAGAGTCAAATTAATTGTGCCTCTCATCTTCTAGCTTAAGGAAAGCCACAGAAGCTGCTTTTCTTGGGGCTAAGTCCTGCTGAAAGCATCTCAGCTCTGTGTAGTAGACATTGTTATTCCCTTTTCTTCTAGGTTTGGAGGGTGGCCGAGCCTTCTTCAACGCCGTCAAAGAAGGAGACACAGTGATATTTGCAAGTGATGATGAGCAGGATCGCATCCTCTGGGTACAAGCCATGTACCGGGCCACCGGGCAGTCACACAAGCCTGTGCCCCCGACCCAAGTTCAGAAACTCAACGCCAAGGGAGGAAATGTGCCACAGTTGGATGCCCCCATCTCTCAATTTTGTAAGTAAATATGTCATTTAAAAAAAAATAGCTCTGTAGAGTAAAGTAAGTCTTCCAAAGTTGAATTAGAAAATCTAGTTGCCTTTATATTTAGGATCTATAAAAATCTCATTTGCTAAAAATCACATAGTGAATTCAGGGGAAAAGTTGGGACAAAATGTTAGATAAAAGTGATTTTAAAGTGCAATACTTGACATTATGCCCTAAGGACTAAACAAAGGAAAGAATGGATATTCAGCTCAATGTTTTGGTAAGAATTTGGAATTCATAGCCAAATACGTATTTGTAGGAGTCCTTCAAATATAGTAGATAATTGTATATCCTTGCTTCATTTCTTCCTATTAAAAGTAATTTAAAAATAGAGTTGATTTGAAACAAACTTAAATCTGCAATTTAGAACCATTTAAAAATAAATGATGACATTATCACATGCAGTGGAAAAAAAAAAAACATGGTACCTAAAATCCCATTCTGAGCTAAAATACCAGAGACCCAAAAATGAATCTGTCTCCTCAAACAGCCCCAGTTCATATTCCACGTTCTTCTCCTCTTATCTCCTACTTTCTTGCCTTTCTACCATGTCATCTTGCTAACTAGGATGACTGCTGTCTCCCAATACTTAGGATATGTGTAGGGTAAAGTGAAAGCAAGGCATATGCTTGAAGATATTTATTAAAACAAGTAACACAGAGACAGAAAGCATCAAATAAAGAATTTATTTTAGTTGCAAACATTTACCCTAAACAGGGACTCTGCCTTACCCTGAATATCGAGTCAGGTGGGGATAGCTCAGGTCAAAGCCATCTTTAGCAATAATCGTGATGACTCCCAATGTCAGTGTGGAATTCCTTCAGTCTGGCTTATTGAGCAACTGTCTAGAGCTGAGATACCTAATTAGGAAGGCAGATGGCTTCCCTGATCTCAGAATGCCTGTATGGCAGTATGGGAGCTTAGACAGCAAGGAAGTCAACAAATGAATATTATTGTTTTGGACACTGAAAAATACCATAAGAAATGTCCCATGGTGGTGACTGTGTAAGGAGACAGGACATTAGAGAGGTCATCAAGGCAGCCACCTCTGAGCTTAAACCCAAATAAAAGGAGTTGCCCTCACGAATAGTTCAGGGGAGGGAACTGCAACCCAAGGGAAAGGCAGTGCAAAGGGCCGAAGCAGAAGAAACCTCATCTTCAACCCAGTGCTTCACAGTCGCTCCTATGCGGCTCTTAAGCAAAATACGGATGTGGATGCAATCAATTTGCAGCTCTAGCAGCTAAACAGGGATTTGCTTTTCGGTGTGTTCCATGGCCACGTTCATTTCCATCTAACAGAGTGGCGATCTGAAACCTCACAAGACCCTTGCTAATCTGGAAATCCAACTCTTGTTGCATAGCAGACTATCCATCAGGTGCTCGCAGGAATTCCTGTCTAGTACTGATGCTTTCCTTTTTAAGGAACATGCATTCCCTTTTGGAACACTGGAAATGACCACATAATCACTGGGTTTTCACACTGAAAATTATAAAGGAATTAGAGATTGAAATGTGCCAGGGGGAAGAAGGGACAGCCCTCCGCCAGCTACCACCAAGTCCCCCACTTTTTTCTTGCTGCCAGATTTATTTATTTATATCACAGGAGAAATAATCGTTAGTTGAGATGAAGCATGCACAGTATTTGTCTAGATCTTCTAAAAATATAATTTAAAAAAATGAACACCATGCGATGGGATTCCTCCTCTCCTCCTGCCCAGCAGGCTCCCTTTTCCTACATTTGGAGTCACTATTTCTGATCATACCCACCTAAAGTTGAATTATCCATGTATCAGAGGAAAAACAATCCTAATTGCAATCGCCATCCAAATCAGGCTCATGAAACACGTTTCTCCGGTGATGTTTGGAAAATACTGTCATTTCCAAATAATCTCCATTTCCTCTGAAGTCATCTCACCTTGCGTTCAGTGTCTCTCTGTCATCTGCCCGGATGAAGGAATTGCTACAAGGCTTGTGAGCAGCCCCTTTTCCCTCTCTATAGTGGGAGGAGGAAGGGCATTGGCAGGGTAAAAGTAAACGGAGAGACAGCTGGTGGCAGGAACTGGTGAACAGGGGATGACTGATGAAAATATGCCAGGGCCCTAGAGTTAGATTTTGTTTGGTGGCTAGAACTCATCAAGTCATTAAATGACAAGGATAGTCCTTAGTCCTTGGCAGAACAATTCCATGGAATACCTATAGCCTCCCATGGAGCGTCACTACTTTAATGGAAATAGGCAGTTGTTATTCACAGAGCATCCAAGGCAAAATTCTAAGGGTTAGAACTTAGAGGATAGATCATTATCCATAGAGTTGATGAGGAAGGCTGAGATAAGAGTGAGATCAGAGTCTTCACTCCCTGGTTGATAGAACCACCTTCTTCATAATGAGAGCTCTCCATAGAGTGTGAGACCAGACTCTCTAAGAACAAGGCCGCCATATTCAGTGCTGCAGATGTATGTACCACAAGAGCCTCCCTTTCACACAGACAGAAATATGGATGGCACCAGTGAGTTGTGCAGTGCCAAACCTGCACAACTGTACACAGTGGCTCTGTAGTAAATAGCAATCCCAGAGCTTCATTCCAATAGTCCCTAAAACAGCATCAACACTGCTCCAGATTCTCTCAATTGCTAATTTAGGAACTGACTGAAAACTACAGCCAGGGTGCCAGCAAGTATGTCCTTTGTTCCCATAATTTCAAAACCAGCAGAGGAAACCAGTCAGGAATTAACCTTATGCGTATTTACAATTAGGGATCCATACAACCCCTGAGAAAGATCAAAACAGGAAACAGAAATTTTACATTCCATGGTGTCACTGACTATCTGCACATTAGTAGCAGAACGGCGAGAGGCTGGGCGTGAGGAAGGAGATCATCATTTTTAGTGGAGTCTGCCATGGAGTGACAGTTAATTCACAGTTACTTCACAGCTGATTTGACTTGTTCAAACCATCTGTATTAAACTGTTCAAGCTTCATTTATGGGTAATTCAACCAAGCAACAGTGTTGATTCCTGTTGGAGGTGACCAACTCATCCTGGATTACCAGGACCTCCCTGCTCTTAGCACGGGAAGCCCTGCATCCCAGGTAACCCCTCAACCCAGGACAAAATAGGACTGTGTTAGTCTCCCATTACTGCTTCAACCCAGAACTACAGTGCAAGACAAATGAGAAACAGCCATGGCCATAAACAGCGTACTTGGCTCCTCCACTTACATTTGATAGCCAATGTACACACTGGCTTGTTTTAATCAAGTCATATCACAAAAATGAAGTCCATCACAGATTTCCTTTCTAGCTGAAAGAATAAAAGAACAATCAAGTATTGCATTTTAAAAAAAGTAAAGTTTCCTTGTCTTCCAAAAGGTAAGGGTTATTGTTAGATACTTGATTCTGCATATGTGTGGTAAAATCAGCGTTTGAAAATTTGCTGAAAGTGCTTGCCATTCTTACTAGTGGATAATTTTTAAGGACAACAACCTTTCAGTGACCTAACTTTGCAATCACTTTACTAGTGTTTACAAAGTGAATGGAAGCAACATAGATAAGGTTTTTTGGGTGGAGAAAAAAACACTCCAGTCTTGTCATGTCGCTGTCTGTTCGAGGGGAACTTCAGTGAAACATTTCATAGCTTGGGAAAGCTGGGAGTAATTGTGAGTGTATTTGGGTCTTTCTAAATTGAGCTTAAGAGACTTCTGGGAGCAGTTTTTTGCAATTTAAAAAATGAAAAGACACGTCTAAGAAAGAATGGAGTGGAGTATTTATATGGAATTGTAAAAACTGAACAAAAAAATAGATCCTGCTATTCATTAGTTTTTGTGTGACTCTACAAAGATTTGGGGAGGGTTTCACAACTTTTAAAACATTTTTGTTCTTTTGTGGTCTTTTTGTGTGTATTATTGTTTATTTAATTTTTTTTCCTTTTCTGTTAAAGTTTTTTTGGAAATTAAGACAGTACCTAGCTATACAATGTTTTAAAACAAATACTTGAAATTCTCCAAATTTTATGGCCAACGTTGCTTACCTTGGAAATAGTACCCAAATCTATTGAGTGTTGCTACCGTTCATTATGCCAAGTGGCCTCTCATTGAGACACCTTATCCCTGTCTGTTATGTGTTCCTGGAACAATCAAAATCAGTACCTGTTCTCTCAGTTGGAGTGGGGTGGGAGAAGGAAGAATTTTAAGCTTTGACATTTGGTTAACGGTTATTCGATGTATCACTTGCTATGGGTCATTTTAATGTCTGTTTCTCAACAGTTAATCATATCAGAGATCCCCAAAGTTGGACATTTTGAGGATTGCTCTGTTTTTGCTATGACCTGAACAGTCTTTGACAGTTAGAGGGATTTTGGTTATTGTTGGTTTGGGGGAGGTTGATTTTGTTTGTTGTTTTGTTTTGTTTGTTTAAGTTTTCTTGTTCAATCTTTGCTCGAACCCAAGAACTTTAGCTGCTAGGTTAGAACTCCTGTCTGCTTTCCTGAGCCTTGTTGCTAGTCTTTATGTTATTCTGGTTTGTTCCTTCTTACCCTGCTAACTTCTAGCTGGACTGAAGGGTAAGTGCTCCCCTATAGCTAGCACAGCTCAGATAATCAGACTAGATTATCTGACACCTGCAATGTGCTTCTCCCCTCTCCTCTCAAATCTTCCTCATGTCTAGACCTTGTAGTAAAATTTTTTCATGTTACTTTCCTGACCTTAGGTTTGAACTGTAAGCTTCCATACTGAAACTAGGATGCATGTGATGTGTGCATAATTGCCTCCTCTCCTTGGCTTTCATATTGGCATCAAATGATCCTCTAAGTAAAGCCAACCATTAACATCTTCTAATTTTTTTCATTCCAAGAATATTGATAAGCATCACAATGAAATGGCAAAGAATGCCTTTGTTTCATGGAATTCATAGCTACCTGACTGCTTAATGCCTGAAAACAGATCATTTTGCACTCTGATAATGTGTTGTTACTGTT